TTTTGCTTTTGCATCTAATCAAAAATGAACTGTTGCTCTTCAGAGGAAAAAGTTCTTAATCTGAGGCCGGATGAGGAACGTGATAAATCACACTTTACGGATAAGGAAACTGGGCAGGATATGGAAATAGTGGAGACAATGCCACTACTGGAATGGTTTGCCAACAACTACAAGGTCATTGATTTTTCCTGAGAGATTGTATGATAAATATTTTTCAAAGTAGTTTTTTTTAAGAACTTTGGCGCTACTCTTGAAATTGTAACCGACAAGTCACAAGAAGGAGCACAGTTCGTGCGAGGATTCGGAGGAATCGGAGGTATGATATTTATGTTTTTTTTAGAATTTTTTGTAGTTTGATTACTTTCTTGTATAGGTCTCCTGCGTTATCGGGTGGACTTAATGAATGATATGGTTGACGAGTTTGACGAGATTAACTTTGATGACTATTGACCTCGTGCGGCGGCTGGCGACCATTGGAAACCCTGTTTTATAGTGCTTTTTTGTAAATTTTTCCAAATATTTTTGATCAAATTGTCATTTTCTCTCTGTTCAAGCAAACGTTATTTTCTTCAAGATATGTTTGTATGTGAACCATTTACTCGATTTCCTCGTTTAGTATCCTCATACCGTACTTTCTTTAAATCTCCTTCGCCTTCATCACTTTATTCATTTGGTTTGACCTTATTTCCACCTCTGGTCCAGCCCGATGTGTCGCTCTGCCGCCGTATGAAATCTGCCGTCCGCCAAAAAGGAGCCGACGGCGTCAGGACGCAGCCTGTCGAGCTGTGCGCTTCTAGTACGTCAACGACTGCGCCAGCAGAGCTATCCACAAATGTTCCAACTACTGGCCAGGGGTCAGTCTACTTCGAAGATTTTTGCTAGTCATTCAATTTACTAAATTTCTCATAAATTAATATTTTAGTTCGAGGTGGGATGTTCTGGTCGATATCTTCGGGCCTACACCATTCTGCTCGGTTGTGCGTAACATCACCCTCCTCGCTGTTGAGTCCTTCGTTTCGTCTGAAGATGCCGTTGAGCGGCTTTCATCGCCGATTTTTCGAGAGGATTTTTTTCCTCATTTGTCATTTGGGTCAAACTCATGTTGTGATCGTTTTACTTCTAGATTTTCATTATTCGGCAGAAATATTATGTTTGAATCGCAATCCATATGAAATTTATTCTTCAGTCAAGAATTCCTCTGTGTCCATCGTAGGAGGGTGTTAACGTCTCGATTCCTCTCTATCTCCTTTTTGTCTCCGCCTATCCTGCTGCATGATGTGTAATGCAATGGGTTTAGAAATAAAGATGCTGCGATTGCTTACTTTCAATTGTTTTGGCATCGACTATTGCTAGACTACAGTCGCTTACTGCTTGACATACCTGAGTGGTATTTTCTGCAGTTTGGTTTGCGGAGAGTGCCGAATTCCGCCGGCCCCTTTTTGCGACAACGCTGAAGTGGTTGTTATCGGTGCTGGTGTGAGCTAGTTTTGCCCGCCTTTGCCTTTCCTGTCGACCTTTCTCTCTTCGCTGTGTAACTATGAGTGCAGCACAGCCTACTGATAACCCAGTGGTGGGTGACAAATTTGTTCATTCTGCGCATTGAATCGTTCATAGAGTTCACTATAGAGTAAATGACGTGAAGATTTACGTTTTGAGGCATGGTTTAGGATGTCAAAATTATTTGGTGTAAAATCAAAGTCATCCAAGATCGAGGGTTTTGGATTTGATAAGAAGAAGCTCTATTATTCATGATTAATTTGCCATGATTTGGCCCTAGCTCGCATAGATACTCAGTTCTGGCCAGCTGGTATATTTATTTAACTGTAGGAGTTGATTCGGAGTTGTATTGGGAAGAAAAAACAAAAAAAGAACTTATGAACGAAAAAAAAATTATGCCTTCGGTGTTGATCAGTCATTTAGGGAGCATCTCCACTTCCTTTTGCAATCGTAGTAGCATTGAGAGCGATGTGGCCCATAAAATTGCAAATTGTAGTAATACAGGGGCACGTGGTATGACAGGTTGCGCTGCCTGCAGTAATTCCAGTATTTGCGAGGCAAAAAATTGCCGGGGTTATGAACTTTTCGCTTCCCCATTGACACCCCCGCCCTGCCCCTTTCCTTCCATGCAAAAATTTGAATTGCTGCAGGCGTTATGGGCTGTCGCACTATATGCCCTTTTCTCCTGGGGTCGACCCTTAGTTTTTTTTGATTAAAATAATAATAGAAATCGGGGAATACTATGTAGCAGTTAAGGTGAATGTATAATATCTGTTCAGATTTTTTCTCAATGCTGCTTGGTTATTAGTGGAATGCCAAGGTTTGAATTTTCTTTGGTCTCAGAATACAGAAGCATGAAACGGTCCTCATAATGCATGCGTTTTTCTAGGAGTCTCTGCAGTGTTCCTGTGAAAATTTTTATTTCGATTTTTGAAAGTTGCTCGAATGGTCTTTTACAGCTGGAGAGCGAGATGGGCTTGGACAAGTCGACAATAGCCGTTACATGTGTCGTTCTTTTGGTCTCCACAATGGTGGCTGTTTACATTCTACGAAAGAAAAAGTTCATCTTTTCAGCCAAGGCAATAATTTTCTTCCTTTTTATTTGATTTTGCTTTTCTTAGGACAACTGCTCAGTCCTTGTGGTCGTTACTGAGTACAACAAATCTGCGAGTGTCTTTTCAGAATCCCGTGACGTTAGTGGATGAAGAGACCAAGTACCCTCTGCCATTAGTGGAAAAGATCGAAGTCAGCCATGATACGCGCAAATTCCGTTTCCGGCTTCCTTCAGAAAAGCATGTGCTTGGTCTTCCAGTAGGCCAGCACGTTTATCTGAGCGCTAAAGTGGGTTTATTTCTTTATGGACTTATCGCTTCTTAGTTGCCTTATATTACCCTATAGTTTCTCGTTGAATGCATCTCAATATGTGCCCTTGTCAAAATGGCAAATGAGGCTAGACAGCGGAACAAGGGTGTGCTATAGTGGTAGGCTAGGAATATCAGTTTTTTTTTGTGGGATTGCTTTCACCGATATTTTGGGAATCCTAGCCGAAATCCGCTAACTCTTCTCCGCTACAGTTTCAACAACACCCAGATAAGTGAAATAAAAATCTGAAAAAGCCAAACTTAGGGGAAAAACGGCCGAGACATGGTTTTTCGCTTTTTCGCACGTCGGTCTCTGCCTTCCTCCCCCTTTCCGTTTTCATCCCCTCTCATTCTCTTCCGTTTCCATCGGTTGAAGAGTGAAATCGGTGATACAACTGTTTAGATGTCGAATTTCTCACCCGTCAACCCTATAATCTTGAGCGAGGTCCATCAACGTCCAATTTGTATTGAAGTCCGCTTACGAGCAAGCGATACAGATCTTTCTTCAACCTTTTTTTTCTCATCGAAAGACTCATGCAGAACTCGAAACAATGCTTTCTCGATGATGAAATTTCCAATGTCTTCTTTGAGCGCAGTTGTTTCAGAATCTTCAAGTATAGTGCTGTTATTCACTAGGTGTTTTAGATCGACGGGAAGCTTGTCGTACGTCCATACACTCCAGTCTCCAGTGACGACGATTTGGGTTACGTCGAACTGATGATCAAGTTAAGTTTCCCTTTAAAGACTTTTAGCCTTCGATGTTTCACCCTCAACCAGGAAATTCTCTTGGGATGAGTATTCCGATGAAATAGATTTGGTAGGGGTCACTCCATTGTAAGCGGTGATGATACTGAAGGTATGCGTTTTGATAACGTTTTCATTCAAAGTAACTTTTTGATAATGGGCGGCTGAATCAGTTCTGAATGTAGCGGAGAAGCGATTCTGAGCCAAGGGGAGGCTCTTTTTGCGTAGACTCAAGACAGTGGGTTGGTGGACGAGGGGGTGGGAGAGGAGAGTGAACATTGAGCAGGGAAGGAGCGTTGATGTGCGAAAAATTAGTACAATGTGTAGGATTCAATAAACTTCACCGTTATCAAAATTTTCTTCAAATGTGCGTGTTGTTAAAACTCTTATTCATAGCATCAGAGACGGCACAATGTAGTAGCCCTGCCCATTCAATTTTCACCAAATTGAGAAGTATAGGAGTCTTATTTTAGGTATACTTCCGTGGTGTACATCCAAAGTTTCCAGATGGTGGTAAAATGAGCCAGTATTTGGAGCAGATGAAAATTGGTGACACGGTTAGCAAGGAGCAATTTTCTGTAATTTTCTCAGTTTCGTTTATTCGATTGCCTTTCCAGATTGACTTCCGTGGACCATCAGGGCTAATTGTTTATAAGGGCAAAGGGAAGTTTGCAATAAGACCAGACAAGAAGTCACCACCCAAGGAACGCGTTTTCAAGAAGATATCAATGATTGCTGGCGGAACCGGCATCACTCCGATGTTACAGGCTAGTTGGAGATATTGAAGCAATTTGATTTTGAGACTTCATTTTCTTGTATTCCTTGCCGATCGTCATGTAAATTAATAGTTTGAAGTCGCAATACGCATAGATTGAGCGTGGGATGCAAATCTGCTACCTGAACGTGCGCAATATTGTTACGTATTCCGTTCGCGCTGCTGTCATCAATGTCTGTCTTGTCTTAAAGGTGTGTTCAGAGTTGGCGATCGCACTTGCAATTAGGCGATTGGGCGATTAGTCTATAATGGAAAAAGTATAACAAATAGATTCAGAGCGATTGGGGGCGAGTAGCGAGTAGGCGATGAGGCGGGTGAAGACAAATACGTATTGATGTCGCCTGTGTTGAATCCGCCAATAGAACGTTGCTACGCGAGTACTGGAGGCGATGTCGCTCAGTGGGCGAGCACACAAACAATATTTGTCCTTCTTGGCATACGGCCTACTCTCCTTATCAACTAATCGCAGACGTACGGATAGGTCATTTAGATGTGAACACTCATAAGGATTCGATCTGGGTGATATTACTTGCCTTTGCAGATCATTCTCAGGCCAATCTCTTAAAGACCCTGAGTATAAACCGCAAGATCAGTCTTATTATTCGCCACCAGGCGGAAAGACGATTATTTTGTTGCAGGTATTTTTGGTTGAGTTCTGAATTAATGATGGTGGACAGCTACTCCTTTCAAGGAAAGAGCTGGACGAGTTGGCTGCCAAGCACAGCGATATGTTCAAGGTGTGGTATACAGTTGATCGTCCCCCAGCCGTTTGGAATTATTCTACAGGATTTATCAATGATGCAATGATCAAGGTTTGTGGGCGTCCGTCAGTAATTTTTTTCAGCCGTCATTTTTTCAATAAGCTGCCATCCTTACCCTTTAGGAGCATCTCCCAGCTCCTGCGCAGAAGATACAGCAGTTCTGATGTGTGGTCCACCACCGATGATTACTTTTGCATGTATTCCAAATCTCGACAAGCTTGGGTCATGATCCAAAGAATAGATTGCTATTTTAGACAATCGTTGTGTAGTAGACAGCTGCAGGTGCCTTGCGATTGATATGTCCATATCCTCTTTTGCATTTATACTTGGTGTGCTTAGGATAAGTTAATGATCTGGTCATAGGAATTTGTCTCCAAAGAACTGCATTTGTGTACGTGTGGATATCTTTTGTCGTTGAATTACGTCACGGTGCTGCTTCTATTTCTATGTTTCGCCAGAATGTTGCAGTAAAGTGGAACTTCGCTTCATTTTGTAGATCAAACGATACAGTTTCAAAAGGTAAATTGCTATGGTTGTCAGCAGGCTGGATCCCCGTCTCCAAGTTGGCCTCATTGCTTTTTTCTGCAGTATTGTTCTAAATCCCATTAACGTTTGAAACTTCACACTTTTGAACTGAATTCGTATGCTGTCAGAAGCCAAAATCTTCAAAGTGAGAATGCTACGCCGTAAATGTCAAAGAGGACGCGAGGGGAATTCACCCGGTCGAAAGACAGGCTCCCCTTAACCGTGTGGACCGACACACAATTCGCAGCGGAAGGGTCCCCGGCGATCTAACTTGGCCACCCCGGCGGCGCTATCGACACGGCACGCCCACTAACACTCACCGTAGGTCTCCAGTCGTTTAGCAGAGAGAGAGCGACAGCATTGAAGAGGGTAGCACCGATAAGAATCGCATCAAGGCGGAAATCAACGGGCAATGAAGGGGCCATTTTACGGGTTGTGGACTGTTTCTCACGTTTTTTCTTTCCTCCCGGCTCCACTGACCATCTCTATCTTATTGTAGTGGACTGTCTTCTGATCGTGAGCACCACTTTCGAGGAAAGGGTCCTGATGAATATTGTGAGAAACGGAAGGAAAAAGTGCGCAGCCGCTTGTGTCGGACGTACCCCATGGGACGATGGGTGACGCTTCCGGGCAGTGGCGCCAATCAACGGTGCATTATAAAGTGTGTATTTGTTAATAATAACCAAACTTATAAACATTCATTTCAAGTTCTTCATTTGAGTGAAGAAAGCGGAAAATTCGCTTTCTGTGTTAGCGAACCAAACCCGGTAGCTAACACTCTGACTAAAACAGAAATGAGAAACTCTCAGTGAGACTTGTTGGGCCGCAACCAGAATATTATCAACCTTTTATTTCTAGAAATGAGTAACTGGGAATAGTGATATCTTAGCGCTTGAAAATAGCGCGGTATAAATGCGCCGCTTTCAACGCTTCATCCAAGTGATTGGGCCGCGACACGGTCAATTATGTTTTCCATATCTCTGCAAGGTTGGCTACCTCTTTCTGAAAAAAGCAGGTAAGTGAAACAGGCCGGGTTCCGCAGTTTCCCAGAGCCGAATGCGCTTTCAAATATCTCTGCAAATCTGGGCAGAAGCCTGATACATGGTGCATCCTATTAGAATTCATCACTGGCGGTCAGTTTCCAATTGAGTCGGGCGCTACCGTAACATATGGGGCTTTGTGCAGGCAAGGCATTCAGAACCGCGTGAAAGATTTCCTTTTGACTAATTAAGTCTATGGCGGGAGAGGAGAGACCCCAGAATGCGTGAGCAATTTTCATTTCCCAATTTTCGAAGCACTTCTTTTCTGCACTCTTCTAGGCTTGGTCTTAGAGAGTATGCATCCGTATCTTGCGATAGCGCCTGAGATTGTTGTTTACATCAAATCAGCTGATAAAAGGCTTCACATCAACAGCTGTATCAAACAGAGCATGGGTGAAACGGTAGGGTTTGCTGTCATTCTGATCGGTTTCGTCTCTGCTGGCCGGCTGAATGGATAGAGCAGCTGACCGAAGGCTTTGTGGACAATGCCACACATCCATTGGTGATGAGGTAACTGGAGTTTCCATATTCTGTTAGCAGAGTTCTTGTTTTGCATGGTATAGCGCTTTTTCAGGCTGTGGTGGCAATGAATCGCCTTTGGCATCCGGACCATTTCACCTGTACCGCGTGCAAACGCCCTATTAAGCAGACTTACCAGGTTTGATCATTCAGGAAGTTGAGGTGCCGAGAAGAGGTTACATGACGTTTACTAGTTCCATGGCGCTATCCCAATATACGGTGGATCCTCTAGGACCAAGCCTAGAACGGGGCAGGAACTCCGAGGAAAATGAAAATGGCCCACGCACCTGGAGTCTCTCCTCCCCGCCTAAAGCTTAAGCCCTTTTCAACGAAAAGCACATGCCCTGGCGGCCCTTCCTCCGACTAGCAGATCCGTTCACGAAAGACATCGCGTTACTCGTTTTTGATGCATTGCCTACAACAATGGCCATTTCTTACGATGCGCCTTGTAGTCCATTTTTTGGATAGCCTCCATGTCACTGGATTCTTTCAGATCGAAGTCAATTCAATGAATGCTCTTTCTGAAGCCCACAGTGGTGAATCGGGCGTCGAGATTGTAGTTTGCCATGGACAAGCAAGATTAGAGTTGAACTAATCTTCCAAAGTTAGCAAATACCCGGGTTACCACGAGCGGGTGTAACCTTACTGATCGTGCATTCCTCGACCGGGCTTTTTGGTTGGTCAGCCACATGTTATCAGAAAAAGGGATGTCACGCTGGAAGCCTTTCTTTGGATTTGTTCTTAGTCGCACGAAATCCTCTTATGGAAAAGCGTTAGTTTGGTCGTACTTTTTGGCCGTATACAATCCCAGAGTATGAATGCGCAACATTGGGCCTTTTTGCGCCAAAACACTGCATCAAGCGGGGAAATTTGGTATTCGTGATAGTGCGGAGAGGAGCGTATCGCAGACGGGGGGACGGGAGGGGGGAGGAGAGAGTAGGGTTACGGCGGGCACCGATTTCCAAACATGGGAAACATTGTTCAGGTCAGGTTCTTAAGCATTAGTCGTGGGGGAGGAGGGGTCAATATGACACCCCAGCGTGAAGTGGCAGTTATTATTTCGCTTCTCTATATCAGTCTAGAGGTGCTATGACCCATACTTCTCTACGATAGCGCACTTACTGTCGTGTTGCTCCGCCAACGTACACTCGTGGTGGGCACGGGAGGATTTTATAACACTGATTGGCGCGTTCCGTGTGATCACTGTTCCCTAGTGATTATAACCGCGAAAACTCTCTGATTCTGAGAACAGATGTGCCGTCAAAGTCGCGACCAGCAACAAAAAGTGCCCGAGGGCTCAAAATATAATCGTCTAATATCCATAGTTTGTAGATGAGCGGGTTGCAGTTTTTCTTTAGCAATCCGAGATTTCACCTGGGAGCGCCGTCGATACTGTGATGGTGTGATCTGTTCTGACACTCGAGGCGTTATCTGGTTTCCGGAGAGACGTCGCTGATCCCTTGCAAAAAAACAAAACAGCGTTCATGGATTGGAAAGGTTTTTCGAGCCGCTGGACCAGGCAATGCTATACGAAGTTATTACGTGTTTTGCTCAAGAAGTACAATCCTAAGTGTGCAGGTACTGCAGTTCATAGCAATTCTGGAATCTAATAATGATTGAGGAATAAGGTTGGGCGCTCATGTCGTTAGGGGGACACTGAAGTAAGTGAGCCACTTACAGAACTTGGGACTAAGCCTTTGAGGGGAGAGAATTCTGAGGGAGAGCTGACACTCTTTGTTCCCCTGGGTTTCTCACTCTTCGGCTTGTATGGGAGTCACCTGAGCGTATTCGAAACGCGTGTTTTGAATGTCCCCCCATGCCACATAGACATGGCACTAGGTTGAAAGAAAAAAGGGCGTTCCTCGCATCGCTGTTTCTAATGTATGTCACGGCGATGTCTTTCGAATGGAAGCAGGACAGACCAGAACATGTTTCTGGTATCGGTCGGGCGATGTGGCCTTGACGCGCGCTGCTCGCATGGGTAGGGTGGGCGTGGGGAGGGGGGGGGGGTAAAATGGATTGCCACTTTGACAAAATGTCGCAAAAAGGGGCGGAATTGGCGCAAAATGGGCGAAATTAGAGATACATGGATAGATTACGGATGGGCCTCACGGATGGGGGATGGATAGATCTTCTTCAAGATTTTCAAGTGGAACATGAGCTAGAGATGAAATGGATATCACAAGGGGTTTCGGGACTTTACATATGCGGTGAGTGTGCCGTGCGAATGTGAAGGCCATGTAAAACAACGCTATAGCTATGATTTAGCCCAGCGTGTCTTGGAGACTCGACTGGCCATGGAGTAAATATCGATTGCGGTTAAAGTGCGGTGGGTCCGTTCTCGCAGGAGAAAGTCAAGAGACAAGTGATTTCAGACAGAACTTCGATAAATCCACAAAAGATAGTAAACGCCCCGTCCAATCTACTCCCCTCCTTGAATTTCGAATCACCCGCACCCTGTTACACCTTCGCCCTCAGCAACTTTTGATGTCGTGCATCAGCTTATCGGCTATGCTTGAGTTCATAGCTAGGCAGATACGTGTGTATAAGAAGCTCTAAAGTAAGTGGACATGTAGGTTGCCATGGAGCACTGGTGGGATGTGCCTCCTGCTCTTGATCGTCCTGGACCATTCCGATGTTTCGCTTGTTCGTCTAGCACCATCGCCCTTTGCCGAATTGGAGGTTATTACCTGGGTACGGTTTTGAAAAATTCATGGAAAAATTCGGAGCACTTATACTGTATAAATGTTACGGTATGGGTAAGTGCTTACTGTTTTGAAGAACGAGTAGCGGCAGATAACAAATGATCGTGCTGTTTGAGTTGCTTAGAGCACGTTCTGTGCATTGGCCGAATTCTGAGTTCGCGGATAATCTAGGAAGTTCCCTCGTTGCTCAAAATGGCTACATCGGCTTTTTGAGCTTGATACTTGTTTATTTGGGTCATATTCTTGTTCGGGCGGGTGGGCGGGGCGGGGGGCGGGGCGCGGGCGCGGGGCGGGGGGGGGACTAGTTCTTTTTTTATCATATGTGTTTTTCCAGGAAAGTTACAGGTAACGTCGAGCAGGGGAGTGCTAGCAGTGTGGGCTTGGGAGGTGGAGGCGGGTCAGTTGATGACGTGAAGCTGGATTTCGGTGTTGACCAAGTTCGTGAGAAATTACTATTGATGCTCCCTTTAACTGGAGTGGACCTTGTTATTTGCCTCGGAAATAAGTGCGTAGGAGCGGGCGGATAGTTGAGAAAAAGGAGAAGCTCCTCACACCTTGAATGGATTTTTTCTTCAGGCTGTGAAGAGTTTAGGAAGCGCGGAAAACGAGTCTAGCATATGAGCGCCCGGGAGAGGGGGATGGATCCGTGACAATAGAGCGTTAGGAGCGAGTGTAGCTTATAGCGTCTATTATGTTGGGGCGACCTGGTGCTGCTGGGCTTGAAACCCCGATGAAACTAAGCCTGCCTTTGCCTGGTATTTCTTGAGGAATACGGATTGTTTGCTTGTCGATCACTCTTGCAGTAACGCACAGGTTTTCGGTACCACTGACACTTGACAGGAGTCCTGAGTTGTGCATCTACAGGCACACCATGGCATTGGTGTGGCTCTTGCACATGACTGCGATGTGTTGGTGCGAAGGGGGCCGGCAGCGAAGAAAAAAGAAAAGAATCCGTCGAAAACGCTCAGATTAGGGGCTACCTCACCTACTTTATCGGCTGTGCTAAGGGAATGAGAGACTAATAGTAAAGCGCGAGGAGGAGAGAGTGTGAGGTGGAGAGGATAGATGAGGGATTGAGAGCAACAGCTCTATAGGAGAAAATTTGCAGCTTAGAGGATTACTTTGACAGGTCCAGCGTTGTGGTGTGGTTCTCGTACACGGAGAGCCATTTGTGTGCCAAGTAGGGTTTTCTAGCAGCGAGGGTGAGGTTCACGAAGACTCTTTCGCTGCGCCGCTGTGCTTTTAGCATTTCCTTACAATCTGCGTTTTCAACTTTGTGTGATTTTTCGGCATTCGACGCAAAAGTCTGAATCCGTAATGGCTCCATTTATCATGACCACTAAGGCAAAGTCTCAGAGATGGATGTGGGATTTAGGTTAGATGACAGCGTATTGATTTGGGACTGTCACTGGGCGAAGCGTCTGGAGAAGAGAGAGCAGATGGAGCGCGGCGAACGCTGAAATAAAAAAGATCTCTACAATTGTTTTCGTTTCGCATATGTAAAATACGCGTTTCGCATATAAACATTGTTTGCAATCAGACGGGTCGAGAAGTGGTGTGAGAAAGTGAAAAAAGGCCTGTGTAGCCCTTTCCTTCGAGAAGAGAGAGGTATGGTGGCAACCACCGAGGGACGACGGCCTACACAAATGTAAATGTTTATGACATGATGATTAGCTGGTTGCGTATATATATATATAGATATGTTATGATTTACAGGCTTCATTTACTAATCGGCTATCATTTATGGACACTACTAACAGCTGTTACTTGAGGGTGTACTTGTGTTTGCGTCCGCACGACGTCTTCTTCTTTTTTGAAAGGAGTGTAGCAGGGACTGGGTCCGAGCTGATGGGAAGGAGCTGTTACCGCTCTTGAGAGTCGCGCGATAGCGTTTTATGTTTCGAAATCGGAGGGCGGTTAGGGGTAATGAGAATCCCTAAGATTGCTTCTATATAGTATCGATTCATCTGAAATCAGATTTACGTGCAAGGCTCATACGCCCTTTTCGGTTTGAAAACTGGCACGATGGTGACCATTCCTCTGGAGCTGAAACGATTGTATTAGTCTGTACGTAACTCGAAGCAGGGTCAGCCGTCACGTTGGACCAATCTTTGTCCAACGCACGGTTGACTCTGCCTCGAAATCGCCACGATTTCGAATAGCAGTCGACTATTGGCACCCCCCCCCCCCAACCGTATTGATAAATATAAGTCACTGCATAGTCACCTCCGATTTAGTTATTCGGAATGCAAGAATAGAAGTGTGGGGTCTGCGATAATAGATCAATCATCACAACTGAGACTACTGGAATTGAATGTGGCAATCATTTCGTACACAAGTACCGATTAAATTAGGTTACTCCGTTATTAGTCACTTGTACGGTGTCTTAGTAATAAACATGATTTTTAATGTGCTGCCAAGACGCCTGACGCAATTTTTTTTACAGTTTTCAGATTCCTTTTTCCAAAGTTTGTCTATGACATTCATCCAATAGGTCGTCAATTCCTTTCTATTGAAAAGATAGAGTCCGCGTTCCCCTCCACGGACCAATACAAGTGAATCCGACATCAGATTTTTTCACTGATAATCCACGAAGGATGTCCGAAAGTAGAAAGGAATTCGCGTCTGAATAACTAAACCCACAAAGATAAGGGGCAAAACACTGGGTGCTGATCAGACCCTTTTGGGATGCGCCACGCGTTCTTTCACTAAGAGTGGCATTGCCATAAATAGCGAGTTGTCCTATTACGACAAGCAGGGCCAAACAATGTACAAATCGCCATTCTCGTCCCCATGTAAGAGTTTGGTGTCAGCTAATCTACCCCTGGATGGGAAGGCTTGGTTGGTTTGAGAGAGGTTCGATTAGAGCTCTACCGGACCACGCGCGCAT